TGGCAGGGGGTCCTGACTGCGGAGCGGGGAGGTTGCAGGAGCCCACAGCGGGTGCAGGAGTCGGTCTGGGGTTCAAAGCCATTGGTGTCAGATTTGCTTGTCTCCAGCTGCAGCAGAGGAATCTGCACTCTGCCTATGGGTCAGGTGAGTTGTCCTTCCGGCAGCTTTTGGATCTGATGTGTGACTCGAGGTATGGTCAACACCTCTGTGGATGGGGTCATAGGCAGGGCTTTGTCGCGCAAGGGGCTGCCAGGGGTGTTGGGGATGCTCAGGCTCTTAGATGCTTGTGGGCTTTCTGTGGCAGCACTGGATGCCTCCTGCCAGGTTGACGTTTGTGTGCTGGCCTGCAGGCAGAGCCTCTTCCCAGTGCTGACATATGCCTGCTCATGTGTCTGCCTGCACAGGATCCACACCACGGCCAAGACCAGGAGCTCCTGCTTCAGCAAGAATGATTTTGATGGAAAGATTAAAATCTGCATCTGAGGTTCACCTGGTCCGAAAGGCTTTCCGCACAAGAAGTGCTTCTGCAGAGTCATAACCTTAATTAAAAATCCTGTTGTCCCTTGCGGCATTTCAGCTACTCGGGTGTGTTGGCAGTGTCTTGTTCACCAGGCTGCAGAGGGCGGGTGATGATGCTCTGTATAAATATTTATGTTGGGCCTTCCGTGCCAGATCTTGGCCAAACTGAGAAGTCTAAGCCCTCCTGTGCTCTTAGCCCTGCTAAGAAACATGCAGGCAAGCATGGCAGATGCAGCCTGCAGGACACCTACCAGGCTGGCAGGCAAAGTCACCGTCCCCAGGGCATGTGTGGAGTGTGTGCCTGGCCTGGGGAGTGTCTGGAGCCGCAATCCCAGCTGCGATGGGTCTGAGTGATGGGGAAGAGAAGACGGCTTGCTGTGGGTCAGCCTCCTGACCTCGCATGAGCTCCAGAGGCTGCATGGGGCACAGTGGAGGGCTCCAGTGAAGGCATCCACGTGTGGATGCTGCTGCAGCCTAGACCTCCCTGGGGGCCTTTATGCCAGCCTGACTCGGCTCAGCGCTGCCGGGTGCCGGAGGGAGAAGCCACCCCATTTCAAAGCAGCCTTGTGGCTGAGATGAATGGAGTAGAGAAACACCGCAACACTCCCAAAAATGTCCTGAAAACTCTCTGATTACGGAAGGCAGAGATTAAACCCTGTTCCTACTGAGTTTCCTGGTTATAGATCCCTCTGGTCACGCCGGTGGTGTGCAAGAGGAAGCAGGACAGCCGTATTGATTGCACAGCTGCTCTCAGCGGCCTCGAGCTGACCCTGGACCAGCGCGCTGCACCGTGCTCCCTGCTCCCATCCCCATGACCATCTAGGCCTCTTTGCTTCCTTTGTGGTGCCAGTGAGGTTACTGGCACTGCCACGTGGCGGTTGGTTCTGGATGCCCACCACTGCAGGCACCACCTGGGCTGCCCAGCACTGATCCCATATCGCTCACCATGGATATCTCATTGGAGAGGAGTGGTCTGCTGGCAGTGGGGAGGACTTGACCCACAGGTCCTCAGATGGGTGCTTTTATCCTCTTGCCACGGATGGGAGGAAGGTACCTGC